AACAGCAGTTGTACAGTACAGTAGTTATGCGTGGGATGTAGGTAACCTCTTACAAGACTAACTTCTTATGACTTGAATTGTGCTTGTTAGCCATCAATAAACCCTTATGGCTGTCTGAATTGACACATAACCTAGATCTGTTGATGCCTTCAGAGAAAGACCAGAGACCACATTTCAACAGCCATGTCTCTTGGGAGTTAAATTAGCATTCTTTTTCATATTCTTTTCCATATTTAAACATAATGCACCAAATACTGATTTGCTATTACTTTACACTCTGCGTCAGTGATGGGATCTACCATGTGCTGTGCCTTTTCCACTTTTGAGAGGATGGATGGGTCACTACCGTGGAACATATCCATATTTTGGAACTGCAGTAGATATATAACTTGGAACATAACGTCCATCTTACATAAAATAACATTAAGTAGCTGATTGGTAGTAATGTGCCCTTAAAAAAGGACATTAAAGAAAACTCTCTTAATGTTAATCTTTCATTTCTATCAAACCCAACCCACATATTGAGATAAGGAGCTGTGATTCAAGGCTTATCATTATACCTGAGAAATGCTTTATGTTATCAAAGACTAGTCACATACTCTGCAGCAATTATGTGGAAAAGACAAGATAAGATTCTTCAATGCTGGGTTTAATAGACATTCTATAGACTAACTGTGCCAAAGATGTGGGCTTTATCTGATAACTTATTACACCAGATAGCAGAATGTGTAGGTTCAGGCCCATTGGTAATTAGACAGATATGAAGAAAATATGTGTATCATATTTCTATCACCTGTCACAATATATTTCTTCTTAACTTTCGGTACAAGACTCAGGTGAACTAACTCTACACATTCCTTACATTGAAAATGTATGTAGTGCTTTATATGATGTACAATTAAATAGAATCATCTTTGAAAAGTCTAAAAAGGTACTAAAAAAGGCTTTAGCCAAATGACTTGTCAAAATAAACATATTGCAAATTCAGTCAGTCTTGGTTTAGTTAGTTGAGTAAAGATGTTGTCTTTGAAGCTGTTGTACAATACATTAACCCGTTGATTAATTGAGACAGTAAAGTTCAGGTTAAATTAGCCTTGTTTAAACTCATGAGATGATAATATATTATAATAAAATACATTTTGTTGCTTTTGTTAACTTTTCAGGTTCATGAGCTGCAAAAAAACAAACAAACCAAAAATAAATTAATAAGTACTAAAACAATAGCACACTTGTGCAGTGTGGATCCTAATTATCATCATGCCATATTGCATGTGCCAGCTGAAAGAGCTAGGAATTACACTTTGTTGACATTTCTGCCTCAGTACATCTGCTTTCTTTATTTAAAAGATAGTCCATCCTGGTAAGCACTTAGATCCTTCTGACAACCATAACAATACAGTCAGGCAGTGCTGAGAGGAAATCACTGGGGACTCCTGGCAAAAAAAAAAAAGAACTTGCTTTACAGGCTGAATTCACTTTCCCAGCCATAAATCACAAGCCAGAAACTGAAACAAATAAAAAACAGAAACAATGCTTGTGGTCTCAGATGACAGCTCAGACTATATGACCTCTGTTTCACTGTTCTCATGTTGGTGAAAGGAATTCTTTGCTGGCCGTCCAGCAATCCGGATGAAAGTCCAGTGTTGATTCCAGTGCAGCAAGGCACTAGAGCTGAAAGCTCTGCTTTAGACACACAGATGGTCTGTGGCGTGAATCCAGCCTGATCTAGTTAGCAGCTTATAGTAAATGGCCACACCTCAAAATCTCCTAAGTACAGTCTGTGTCAGTCTTAAAACTGAAGTTACTTTCTACTGTTATTACAGTGCATGTCTATGTTCTAAAAAGTAGACCTTCAGAGCGTTTTATTATTTTTTAAAGGACACAACTAAATAACTCAAGGATTTTGGACCCAAGCTCGGTACTGACAGTAAAAGGTACCTGATTATCCTCTCAAACAGTTGCAAAGGCACTTAAATTTGAAGGATAAAATGATTGCACATTTCCTCAGAGAGCCGTGTGTTTCAGCAGAATAACATGTTTGGGTTTTCCACCATTGAGGGGTCTGCGCTGTGCTGTGGGTTAAAGCAGTCTGAGAGCACAGACTCTTCTCTCTGTTAAGGCAGGAGCTGGTGCTCATTACAGTGTAAAGTTGCCAGCCATCGCAGGGAGTTGTGGCCATCTGGGGATAATAAGGGAAGCATTTGGATCATAAACCTTTCTTTTACGCAATTTCAGCCGCACATCATTGCTGTTCTCCAGCTAACGGCCTCTGGCACTTCTACTTAATACTTCCGTTTTAAATGCTGGGTGGGGGGAAGACAAGCAAAAACAAACCTTTAAACAATGTGAGATGGTGAAGGAAAAGTTTCAGCTTGTGCATCTTTCACAGTGAGTCTATGTAACTTGGAAAACTATTTTTTAAGCATGCATCCTATGTGAACATACAAGTGCACATGGATGTTGGCCCAACGTATGCCAGTAAAAATAAGTATATTTACTAATACACATATAAACATGCATACCCATTCGGAAGCACTTTGTGTTGGACAAGCAAGCTCCTATACATATATCTTACAGAAGGCCACCTCATGGTCGTTATATTATTGTCCTTCCTGCTCTCACAGACACAGTCAGGCTGATCCACACACATGCTGGTTCACTTTCTAAGCCTCTCAAGTTCGTTAGGTATACGAACTCTGACATCCCCAAGAACAATCATAGTTAGCATCGTACAGTACATTGTCAGGAGAATGAGCTCACAGCTGGGAAGCTGGACACTAGTGCTGCCAAATCTCTAACACATGACTCTTTCTCCTTGTCAAAATCACCATGTGTGCAATAATGTGATTACAGCCTCGTTACTAAAACAACATCTTCTGTGGAAGAAACACACTGTGGAATGTACGTTTCGTGTGTGTGTGTTGGGGTGGTCACGTCTAAGGAATATTACTGACCCCCTCCCCTTAAACTCCCTGACGTCAACACTGTTTTTCTCTCAGAGATAAGCTGGGGCGGGGGGGCAATGTCTCTGTGTGGAGCTCTCCGTTTTCTGAACTATGTCAGGATTGTTATGACGAATCGTTCCATTGAGTTCAAAATGAGCGAGTGGTAGTCGGAAGTACGAACGTTGCCATGACGTCAACACTCATCATAGACCATTATGCTGAACTTGAATGTAGATTAACCCCATGCTAAAAACCAGTGTGTTGAATGAAAGAGTAATCTATGTACTTCAGGAGGTATTTTATTGCTATTTTTGGGGGGTGGGGGAAATCTGGATAAAGTTAGTCATTTTAAAACATTCAAGGAATTCTGTTGGTGATGGTGATTGCTAGACTTTCTTCAGTAACCCTATGCTATCATATGACAAAGGGAAGGCATGTAGGTAAGTAATAGCAGATGTAACCATGACTATGCCACAGCAGGCTTTATTGGAAGCCTATAAAAGTGGATAGTTGCACACTTATAACTGTAGAATGCTATTTCCAGTAATAATACAATACTTCTGTGCTGTTGGTAAGTACTAAAACCCTGGTCCCTTTCAATTCTGTATTCAAAGCGGTAAACAGTTAATATGCCAAACAGTGCCGTGCAGGCAAACCAAAATGTTTAAATTGCTGCTTTGTTGTTTAAAATTGGATGCTCTGGACTGAATCAATCAAAATCTTAATAAAAAGAACATTATTCAGGAAAGGTTCTTACAGTTGGAAAAATTCCGCCCACAATCCAGGAAAGCTGAAAGGAAATTTGTTAAACTTGGAGCTGTCCCTTCTCATGCCAGCCCTGTGCCAAGGAAGCATTACAAATACTTTGGATGCATTTGAATGCTAAAAAGATCTGCAGTACATGCCACCCATATTGTGATTATAGAACACAAGCTGTTTAAAGTCATGAATATGAGATTACTGTTTCTAGCCTTTAATACTGCAGAGGAATGAATTCTGGAGGAGAAAGTGTGCTGGTAAGCTGCTCTAGAACAATTTAATTCCCTGCAGTTTTACCTCTCAGAATTAAAGTCCTTCAGCTTAGTGTTAAGCTCAGAGACTGGTCTTGGCACTTTGCACGTTAAGGAAATAAAAGGGTGGATTTTTTCAGCTGCCTGGAAAGGTCAAATCAATCACAAAACACAAGTAATTGTTAACACCCCATTGAATATAATTTTTAAATATTTTTTTCTTATAATCAATGCCTTGTTTTAATGTGAGATTTTTGTTAAATTAATTTCCTGAAACTGCTTTCAGAAGCACGTTCCATCAGTCAAGAACTGATATATATGAAGCTACTTTAATTTGTTAAATACACATTCATTCTGTGCAGCTTTCCAATACAGTATTGCCTTTGTTTAGCTTTTGTATTTTCAATATGAAATAAAATATGTTCAGCCTCTAAGCAAAAAGAATTAATGTGTTTTTGTTATCTGGGTTTCCAAGTTTATTTAAAACAATATTTGAAAAAACACATTGACTCTCAGAAGCATTGGAAGATTTGAATTTAGCTCTTTTTTCCCAGCCTTGTTTTTTTTCTTTAAAAAAATCAACTGTACAATTTGCATATATTTAATTATGTACAGTGGCAGAAGCGGTTAGGTGGCTAATGTTTAGATGTGTTGGACTGGTTAACTTCATTTTTTTAAACATGCAGTGATTCCGTTACAAACAGATTTAATGTTGTTTGAGTGGCCATGATCCTTATATAAGCTTAATGCCATACTTTTATGTTAGCAGGCACACAGTATACTGAGTGTTGTAATGGGATTTTAAGTGTCTGTCTTGAAATGATAAATGGCATGCACCTGCAGTGCACAGAGAAAGCTCAAATCAAAACAGCAACATGAGAGCTCACCTGCTTAGGCACAGTGCAGTAAAACCCCTCCTTCTGCTTCCTCAAGACCTTCAGCTCAATCAGAATGTTTGTCTTGCTAATGTAAGATACCTTGAAAAATTTGCCTTTAATGCGTGGAGACTTGCTGAACAGACACCCCTGCCTCTTTTGTGTTCCAGCTCTTGATAATGCCAAATATTTGCAGACGGACTGAGAGGTGAGTATTATTTTTCAAACAGAATTCCTTTAATTAATCAGTGTGTTTAAACAGCTGGGGTGCTCAAGACACTAGTAATGGGATTCTGTAGTGGAAGTGTGGATTAAAGACACAGATTCAGCAAAACGTTGTCAAGCAGTGAAACTCCAATAGGTCAAATTTCCTTTAGAAGCGAGTCAAGGGTTCTTTTAACGCTACATGCTCTAATGAAGAGACGAGACAAAGGAGAAAGAGCGAGATCGAAGGGAACAGTCTCCAGAACAAATGAAAAGTAAGAAACGACAGTGAATGACCTTTGTAGGCATTTATTGATTTTTATTCAGTTCCGCTTATAACAGGCATCTTTAAAGTCTGTGATCCTGTGCAAAATCTGAATTGTTTAAATTGACATTCTTCACTGGGTCTTTCAGTTGTTTAGTCAAAACTAGCAAAAACATTTTGCCATTAGGCTTATCTAGGTAACATTGCTTTGGCAAAGTTCACCAGCTTGAAAGCTCGTCAATGGGCTCCGTCTTAAACCCTGCAGTTGATTGTGATTTGCAGATGCTTACTGGAGGGACAGGGAGGTGGCAGTGGTGCAGACAGGGGAGGGAGGGCAGTGTAAACAAAGGAGAGGGTGAAAGAGTGAGTGGGGAGATTGTTTTACTTCCAGATGTCATCTTGGGTTAACAGGAAAGAATTGGGAACAAGTTCATTGAAACGGTGTGCTGATCCCTAATTTCCTGCCGTGTCAGAAGAACACATGTTGAGCTCTCACAGTCAAGTCCCCCCCCCCCCTCAACTACCACTACCCCCACTCCCGCCCCCGACCACCACTAATTCGGAACAATAAAAAAAATGGAGGTCTAACCCACCCACAGGCCTTGTTATAAACATTGTGATTTTCCACGGCCCTGATCAGCTATCCAGGAGCACCCAGACAGAGAACAAACTGTTTATACAATACATTGTAGCTTAGGGGCTGATTTTCATGTATGTGGAATGTACCAATTAGGCCATTGTATTTACCTATGAATTTCCTCTCCCTCAGTACTCATGCACAAGTCAGAGCATACTTCTAATTAAATCAGACATGAAAAAGGCCAGTTAGATTCAACATCCTTTATGGTAGCAGAATTCTTTTACATGTGGACACTGCACGGGACCTTGAAAACATTCTGTGGCTTGTTTATGAGGCTAATCCATATATAAAGTAATCAGCTGCTAAACCTAAAACCCACATTTATTGTTTCATACAATTTATAGCTCTTATAGTGAAACGAAAAGCCCTCTGTTGTTTTAAGAATACAGATCATGCCCGCAATAACGTTTGGCAAAAGCATGCAAAGGTTTGAGCATTTGAGAATTCAATAGTCAGCAATAAACGAGAGTCATGAAAAATTCAGTATCACTGAGTGCAACCCACAAAATAAACTAAAATAAATACAAAACATAAACATCTTGTTTATTTTTCCATTGAGAGCCTTATAAAGTTTCACCACAAAGCTGGTGCTGATTTTCATTATTGCTGATTTTGTCATGCTGTAGAGAATGAAATGCACCAATGATGTCCCATTTCAACAGTAAATTGTTACAACAGTGATTGTTAAAGCAGACAAAGGGTATATAGATGTCACAATTCCAACTGACTGCAATCACGCATAGCTTCGATGTGTATGCACAGTGTGCACTGCACTGTTCAGGTAACAGCTTGATCTAGAATAGGGCTTTATAGCAGCAGAGTTAAGCACAGTTTAGGAAACATGATGCATTTCACTGTCAAAGTCTGAGTTTGGAATGTTTTGACTTTTTTAAGATATGGAAGATGGATTCGTTTCTGCACTGAGTTTATTGGATCAAAGGGGCAGCAGTCTGAAATAACAGTTAGGGCTCTGGACTTGCAGTTGGGAAGATGTGGAGTCCCAAGTGGCACTCAGCTGTTGTATCCTTGAACAATGCACTTCACCAGAAACGCTACAGTAAAATAGATAAGTATTTAGAAGTCACTTTGAAAGAAAAATTAGTAGATTTGTTGGCAGTTCTGAAGCTGTGATGAGCAGTTACCCATCTGGTCCTTCTCGAGACCCACAGGCCAGAAGCATACATTAGGGAAGGTGGGGTTTGGAGAGAACAGCACAAGAGGGTCTCATTGCCCAGCTGAGTGTCGGCTCCCACAGCCCCCATCTCTACCCCCTCCACCTTCTTGCCTTTCGTCTGCACAGAGAGAGGAAACGGACGAAGGATTTACTGTTGGGTCCTGACTTGTATGCATTCCTGGTGTTGTTTTTCTCTGTTTTGGCCCCTCAGCCATACAAAAGGCCTCTAAAACAACAGCCAGAGAGGTTGTGACAGCTGGCTTCAGACAGCTTCTATGGTAGCTTTACAGTAAATTTCCAAGCCATGGGACATTGTCACTGGAGAAGGTGGGTGTGGTGTAGTTGGTGTCACGATGAAATGCATTGGTTTATTTAGCCAAAGTCAGTAACAAAATCTTTTTTTCTAATCTTTTCTTCTGGAGAAGGATCATATGAGAAAGTTGAAATATAGGGACTAAAGTTAATGAGGGCTGCTGTGAATCTGTCTATACAGTGTACTGTAGATGGACACGCTCGCAGTTCCAGGTGGAGCTCTGGCTTTGAAGAGCCGCTCAGCTGCTTGTGGAGTTTCTAGCCGTCCAGGTGTGTGAGGGGTGGACCAGCCACCTGAAAGAGCTTTTTGTCTGGACGCTGTCAACCAAGGGAAGAGCATTGATCTCAGACTCCCACCATCCACCAGCCATGAAAGCTTAGATCTGTAAGCTGGGAGCGACAGTCAAAGCCCTCTCAAAGAAGGAGGGGGGTTTTAGGCACTAATAGGATAATTGGTAGCACTCCACAGGTGCTCTGTTTACGAATGAGGTCACAGCTCAAGTGTGGCTCTCTATGGGAATAAGGAGATCAAAATTCCTTTTGCTTGGAGACACCCGCACGCACACACTCTGATCCTCAGTGTACACACACCTGCCAAAAAAAAAAAAAACAGACACTGACGTGTACAGTCTCTCATGGTAATGTGTCACTCTTTAGGGCAAAGAAAATATTTTAAAAATGAAAAAGAAACGAGAATGAGACAAAAGTTTTCTAATTACACAAACTAATTATACAGGCCTGTGCTCACTTCTAACCATACACACACTCCTAAAAGGCAAATTACTAGTTCTCTCTAAAACAAAAGCAATTCTAGTTCCATTTGTACTATAGTAAATTACAATTTAACTGTTCTCACATTTTACAGATATCAATCAATATCATCAGACAGCTGTTGCTATTGTGAGGCCAAAGAAAACTTAATTTGATATGACTCAGTTAAAGATCAGTAAAAGGGTAAAACAGAGGAAAATATGTTTCTTGTAGGTCACATGATAGTGGCAGTAGTCTATATAAGAAAATAAATGACAGTGTTGCACTTAATTAAAAAGAAAAGCTATATCAGTGAAATATAATAAATAACATAATACTCTATTCAATTTACAGAATATATGCAATATTATGAGATCTTACTGTTACATAGACCGCAATTATATTTTAATAAAGACTAAAGTTTCCCTCAAACAGAAAACGATGAGAATTCCAGATTGTAAATACAGTAAATACAGTAAATATTGTATGCTGTTGAAGCAGAGGAGAGAGCAGTTGTCATTGTTGGATCGTAATGTGCCTTTATTTTTACTGGAGCATGCAGACACCCACAGCTGGATTGTGGGGTTGATGTCTGTATCCTATGTTGGAAAACGAATGGAAAACAATATTAATTTAATAAATGACTCATTACATCACCAGTACATTTTGTGTATGAGTTTGTATATTAAAGAAGGAATGTTAAACTGGGGATTTAATTAATCTCATACTGTATGTTTACGAGAATACAAAAAATCATACTTCTTATGATCTTAAGTCTATATGCAAGTGTATAATTATACAGACCTGTGACAAGCTTTACTTTTGAAAGTGATCACACACAAATTACTGAAACTGCTGAATTTTGAACTTGCACAGGCCTTTCCCATTTGGAGGTTTAAATCCGTTTTTGGAAGTGAAAACCAGTTTACTTTGTTTTTCTTTCCTAACTCACAGGAACCATGTTGTTGCAAGGAAGTGCTTCCACAGGGGTTTTATGGTGAGAATACGCCCAGTGCCAGGTTGGGCAAGAGTCTGTCTGTGTCAGTACAATCTGAGGTACACCGAAAGGCATCTTTGAAGGCTGAGGAGGCCATGCTGATGTTTTTTGGGTTTCTCATTCGCACAAATAAGAAACCCCATGGATGATCTTGGCCAGTTACAGTGTGAGAAATGCCTTTTATCATACGGCCTATAGAGTGCATTAGTGGATGTGGTCTGCTTAAAGTTAAGTGGCCTTTATGTTCTTTGCAGTGTTCACTTTGGTCTTTTGAACAAGGATTCTGGCATCAGGGAAACTGGCCATACAATCAAATGATGAACATATTTTCACTTGAGAGCTCCCATCTGCTCAGCTGATAGTAGGTAATAGTGCATGAAGGAAACCCACCCAATGCAGAGGGAAGACAAAAAGAAGAAAACCCTCCAGAGAGAATTAAAAAGATTTTTATTGGCTTTGATCATCTTGTCAGTTGAATGAGCTGAAATTTCAGCTCCGTGTTGAGCATTTTTGGAAGGTTAAGAGGATGTCATTCAGCAGTTTCTGGCTAAACTATGTTGGGAGATTAAAACAAATGTCAGATGACGATGTGAAGTTAAAAACCCAGATGAAATTGGGTGACGAAGCGTAATGGCAAGGAGTTGCCAGTGATTTCTGGATCCATTGTGTTGGATTTGTGGAAGAAAGTGATGCAGATTTTATTATGACAATCAGTATGTGTTCAATTATTCTTAACAGTATAAGATCTTTGACATCCAAATAGAAAAGCAAATTCCCTTGTTAATGTGCTTTCTGTGAGAACATTACAGTCACCTCACAATAAATGACATATTTTATACGACAGGATTTATTTTAACAAGTGGCCATTAGTATTGTGTCCTAACCAAAGCCCCTCCCTCCATTCTCCATTATTATTTGAGAAAATAATAAGAAAATAAGAAAATTATTATTTGTTTAGAATTTATTCTACTTGCAAATGGGTTACTTCCTTTTTTGCTAAGCATGGATTGTGACAGCAAAGGTACTCAGATGTATTTCATTCGTCATATTATGTCTCTGAATGTTAACGAGAAGCTGTATATACAGTAGAGACACACTGGGCTACTGCTACAGCTTGTTTTCTACACATCCTAGCATAGTGCTGCCTCATCCTCAGTTCTTTGTGAGAGATCATCATGCCTTCCATCTGAAGAATGCATTTTAAAAAAATATATCATGATCTTTATTTTATGTTACAGTTTTCATTGTCTCATCCCATCATCTCGCCATACTTTACAGTAAAACAAAGCAAAAGAACTAAAAGTTTGTAAATACACTTTAACACCATAAATTTACTCAGGAATTAATAGCATATTAAGCAGTCTTGGAAGAAGAGAACAAAAAGCAATGTTTTCTAAAAGTTTTGACAATAGGCAGGACAGGGTCCGGAGAGCAAAAAATGATATACTGGTGTACAGGGACATAACAGTTTACAGATGTACTTGGGATCCTAAATATTCAAGTCTTTAAAATGAGCAGCACTAACTTGAAATTTATTCTGAAATCCACGGGGAACGTAGCTGTCAATATGGAAAAGAGATCGACACAATATAGTTAAACTAAAATGAGGCCCTCTGATTGGCTGAGATAGTGAAGTAGTCAATAGACTAGCAATTAGCAAACCCTAGGTCAGATGCAACGTGGAGGGCAGAGGGTGAATAGTTTCCTGTTATTGTGACTCTGTGCCCTCCCTCAGCCAATTAGCAGTGGAATTAATATTATTGGAGCTTTCCGGAGATGAAGCAGCTTAATGAAGCACAGAACATCATAGAACATCAACAATCAGAGGAAGAACGTTTGATCCTAATTGTCGAAAGCATTTGTATTCCGGGATGCTTCTGCCCCTATGAGCAGCAGAAAGCAGACAGGATGATGAGCAGCAGGAAGAGTGCTATCTGGGATCAGATATTGTATTATGTATGGTAGCCTGTGGGAGAGAAACCCTGATATTACGTATGCAGATATATACAGTATGTATCATATATGTCATCCACTCTCTTTGTAACTAGGAATATTGCATCGTCTTGTACAGTATGTATTTGTAATGCTGTCATCCACAGCCACAAATCTATGGAAGAGAGTAAAGTGAAGCAAATATCATAATGGCTTTTAAGCTACCAGCTGTCTTCACCTAGTCTTTTGCAGTAAGAAGTTTTGGGACTCCAAGTGGAAGCATCCCTTAAAATGTGTATGTGAGCAAAAAGCAAAGGTAAGACGATTGTAAATGTTTGGTTTAGTTTATTTGAAAGCAACACTTTGCCATTGCTAATTGAAACATGGCTTCAAAAATAAATATGACAACCTCTGGGGGAATTCACAAAATGCAGAAATATATTTCCCAGTCAAGGGGTAGCAATTGGTGTCAAGCTGCGCTGCTGGTCTCAAAGTGGGAAAGTGTCACACAGCAAAGACTATTTCAGATAAATATGCATGGGATCAACTGCATACTGACATACAAAACAGAGTGGTGCTTCAGTCTGGATTTCTGGAAATAGCACAGGGGGGTTTGAAAGGGATTTTTAGTTGTCAGAAAAAAAGATTATCAGAGTAGAAATCGCACGTTATGAACTTTGCTAACGTCAACTTTAAAGCAGTCAGAAGTTTCACCTCATTTCCATTTGAACTGTGAAGCAATGTCATTACTGAAAGGATGTCAGCCTGAGTGAGTACATTCACATAGGGACTCAGACCAAGTCAAGAGAACCCAGTGGGGGATACAAGGGCAGTGATTGGGAGATATGGGAGGGTGGAAAGTAGCCAATACAGAACAGAGAATTCCTGGTTAATTGTATTTTAGATACATTTGGAAGATTAGGCCTGAAGTCTTGGTTGTGGGCTGTTTCTTTCCCTTAGCTTCACAGTTTAGACTTCCCAAATATTAATTCACGTTAAGCATTAATCAAATGTGCTCCTAGAAAAGATGAAATTAGAACTGAGAAATGCATGGCCAGGGCTGAATTATTACACTGCATTTCTACAACTAATTCTGTAATGCTTCAATGGAAAACAAGCCTCACCTGAAAGTTCCACTCTCCTGCCCCCCGCTTCCTGTGAAAAACGTAGCCCCCTGCCAACAACCATCCCCTGACACATTCCTCTGAAGAAGGGTGCCCCCACAGAAACAGACATTTCCTCACTCTCTGAAGCACACACACAAAAAAAGCTTTTACTCATTAGCAGGTGACCTCTGACCCATAGGCCACATTTTAAGAGGCTCTACTTGACTCCTGACACGCCTGTCAGCAATGAAAACATGTGTGTTCAGTGCAGGCATATGGGTAATATTGATGTCAATGGGGGTAAATATGTTTATAACAGCAGTTCTACACATGACAGACAGGTTCATGACTCTCAGACAGTTTGTTACACAGTCCTTGCCTTTACATCACATTCATAACACTCGCTTGCTGAGTGAGTTAGGTAATGGCTGCCTGGAACTTTCTGTGAAATGTACTGTGAAACAACTGAAGCTGGTGGGAACCCATGGTGACCTCCGCCTCCCCCCCAGAATAATACAGCAATTAAAAGGATAATGGTGAATCTATATGTTAAATGTAGCATTCCCTTTGTGACAGCTAGATTCAAGTTTCTGTGGGATTAAAGCTCTCAGTTTTATGTTTTTACACATGTTCCAAAGGTTTCCATAAAATATTTTGTGAGGTTTTTTTTCATCTCGCCAGTCCACACGCAAAAACGAAGGAAGCATTTAAAATAGTACATAAAGCAAATGCAACCAGTCATGGAGTTCCGCTGTACTGATGTGTTCATTGTGCACAGGTAAGGTTGTAATTAATGAATCGACAGGACTCAGCCTCAGGCTTAACTGTACTGGTGGAGTAATAGCTTTTCATTGCTGACAGATTAATACACGTTGCCTGTTTGATGTGGTTTTCCACTCTCTTCATAATTTGGCTACTTTTTGGCAAGAGGATGTTATTCAAAAATGTGGGTTTATTTTAACAAATGATTGACAATTAACAACCTCGTTTCATGTTTTTATAAGCTGTTAACTGCACACAATATGTCTTAGCTACTACCTGTTAAATGCCATTGTGTGTGTGTTGTAGAGATTTAAAATAAACTATGAGATGGAATTCTTACTAGCAATCATTATAGGACCCTTCAGAAAGGGACAGTAATCTCAGGTTGCAATGAGACACTTCAGATTAACTTTATTATCTAAAGAGGGAGAAGACTCTTGGGTGATTACTTTAGGAGATAGAAGTGTTCCAATTTTTTACAGATCCAACAAATTACACAGTAAGATAGTGCTTCAGTCCCCCATACAATTTGGTTCTTGCATGCAGCCCAGCATAATAATAACATTACTGTAGAAGCAAATGTACTAGATTATGTGTTCAGTCTTGGAAGTAGGATGAGTGGAGACCCTACATTAGTATGTTTCACACCGCAGACCCAAAGCAGCGTAAAAAAAAATAACATTAATAAAAGTCCAATAAATCCATATCCTACTGCATTTTAAGTCGAGTAAAAGATGGGTTAAGAAAAGCTAGAAGGCGTTATAAAAAAGTAAGAAGGGAGAGAAGTGTGACATGTGCTGTGAAATAAAACAGTGGTCTCTTAGTGTAGTTCGAAGGCCCGT